AACATCGCACCTTTTTTTATGCGAAAATTTGCCAAGCGAGCAGACGGTTCACCTGATGTTAATCTCGCCCATGGACATCTGCTACACCCGAGGGTTGCAGATGCGTTGACAACCTTTTGAAAATTGGGCTTACCTTACTTCATATTATTAAACTAAATAAAATATTTCTACCAAGGCTATAAACCAGTCTTTTATCCTGTCGCAGAAACGGTGGCTTTCTGCGTAACTGTTGCGTACATTGTTGCAAACGTATTCTTTTACGACGCGTGCAAAATTTTTACAACTCAAAATCATCAAGGCTCGAAATCGCAAGAGTACTTTATTCACAGTAAAACGGCAGAGTTCGAAAGATCGATAATCGCGCATGGTACATAACCTTACCGCTACCTGCAGTCTGCTGCACAATGCATCCAGGGTATCAATTATGGGAGGCTCAGTGTACTTAACGACGTGCTCGTGGTATATTGTAACACAATAGGTTGTAAAGCGGACGTGCTTGGGGTACCTAATGTCCTTACACTTAGTCGACTGTACCGTTAGACGAAATCTAGACTTACTTCTGTAGGCAAACTCGCACTTTCTGCACAGGTAATTGGTAGCTGCACACTCAATTGGTATCCGGTGCCCTGTGTACATCTTTACATGGGATTGTTACATAATCTGAGTCCCTAGACCGGCCTGAAGTGTTACCGAAGTGTGCCACCCTACGGGTGATGTAAATGCCAATGCTTCTCACATGAAAAACATAAGCCAATTCTATTTTATATGTAGCATTGTTGCTATGCGGAGTTTCGTCTTTCTATTGACGGTTCGGTTTGGTGGTGAGCGATGATGTGGTTCATGTTGAGTAATGGGCATGATTAGCGAAAACCTCTTCATGTTATACTTTCGTCATGTCTTCATTTCTTAAACATAGCAAACTTAAAGCTTTCTTCGTAGCTGAAATATATTCACCGCCACCATTGAAAATGTTAGTTGAAATCACCAGCTTGACTCCAAGTGAGAACGTCGTGAGAAAACCAAAACCGGTATATTATGAAGACTTGCGAGTACACATTGAATTTACGTAGTACACTAAGCCTTATCCTTTCTACATACTCTACTTTTGCACAAAAGCGAGGCTCTTACAACGATTATGTTATATTATGTTAAGAAGAATATCTCGCTATTAAGCAACATTACGCTCGAACTTGATGGCTATTAAGTGTTTCATAAATTATAACACATTTTAAACAGTGGCGAATTTGTGTTGGAGACAGTGAACTGTGAAGAATGGGTAAAAAGTATATTCGTATTATACACATTATATAACATGATGATATATTATTTTATTTTAGTTGTGTTGATATTTTTTTCGGTTCATAAAAATTACGCTATTGGGCACAACAGATTTGTGCTTTAGATGCGTTAGCGAAAATTGTAAATGGATATGAGAATGGAACTTAATTATGTGTGTTGTACAAATATTTTTCCTCTGCCGTAATCCAACCTACGGCGCCAAATGCCAAAGGATATACGCGTATGTGTCGTTATTACCTATTCCATTCCGATCTCGTCCATTGCCGATGTTCATAAGATAATGTTAATATCTATTTTCACGCACACGTGCGCCGATGAATAAATATTGCGTATTTCTCACGGTATTAAATGCATACGTTATAATGGAAACGTTTTTACAGGTATTGGAACTGATAAACAGGGGCTGTAGCCAGCGATGTTATGACTTAGATAGCGTAATAATACTTCAAAGAGCCGGAAGACAGTTGCCCGAAGTTGGGATTTAAACAATTTAGAGTTAAATGACAAATGTTTCCACTGCTGTTGTCCATTAAATGTAATCTTTTAGAGAACACAAATTTTTCTTGTTGCGTTCTATCTTGCGGTCACATTGAGATTGAGCGCTAAGCTTGTGGTACCAGAACGAGGGAGAATTTCTGGCCTACTTATTTTTGGCACATCTAAATACAGGCACGCTCAGGTAATGAATACTGTCTTTATCTCTGGAACGAGGCCCTTCTTTTGACCACATCCAAATTACAGCTGCACAATTCGTCGATGACAAAGTTCTTTCTGTACGGCTTGATCACAGGATCAAATCAGATAAATTCTGATTAGATTTTGCATTTATGGTGCAATTCTCAGCATTTTCCCATCGTCACAACAATATATCCTAGAGTATTCCGATCAATACCTACTGCTGAATTTCACTATTGTCCTGTTTGCTGTCCACTACAGTTCATCTTTCACAAAAATAATTCCGACTCTGAGAAATCAGGTGTTAACTGACTCTGTGAAATCAGTTGTTGCCAGTGGTATACCATTTTGACAAGGACGTGTCAGAATAAAATTGACGAAGTTTACTCTACTCTCGCGCTCTGTGATGTTGCGGATGTGGGATTTTGAAACCATTTTAATTAATGAACCCCTGCTTCTTTGTCATGTCCACCATAAAAAGGTGGTTAAGGAAAATTTAAGCATACATTTATACTTTCAAAACAAGCACATCGTTTAAAATTTGAGCAGTCTTTCTTCTTTTAACAGGTATGTTATCAATCACAATTTCTTCGTACTTCGTTTGTTGAAATCACGATTGTTTCTTTATTTGTAACGACAGGGCCTGGCCAACCAATAAACAATCAATAAAGTTAAATTGAGAAAACGTAATTAAGTTGTGTAGCGAGTGGTTTACAATTCAATATAATAATAAAAATATCACATTGTGTTTGCTTTAGCAGTTTCTTTATACGAATGCCTTGCAGAGAATCTTCGTAAGAACAATTTTTGAGTTCCAAGTGACGTGACGTACCATTCGAATATAAGTTATACAGACGCAATGTATCCTGTCTTTATTTTTATTACTTTACATAATGGGAGAAGATAGGAAAATATGAGGCCATTGTTTAAACTTATTTCTCTAGATTACCAACTCTGACTATCAATGCATTATTAATCATCAGACCAATTTTTATATTTATCTGTAATATTTGGCCCTGTATTTATAGGACCTTCAAAAGTTACGATCAATTAATTTAGATGATCTTTTATATGTGTAGATTGTATCTTGTATTAACTGATGTTTGTGCTTTCAGTCCCGAGACTATGAAAGCTTCATCTGACGCAGAACCGGTGGGCTAGCCAGAACCCACGGGTTTGGGCCCTCCGCTGTGGGTAGGGCCACGCATGTGCTCATGCGTGCGTTTAACAATGGTGTGTCATCTACGGGCCATCGAGGCCGCGGTTCGGACCGAAACCCCGATGGCCGTAGAACCCCGATGGCCGTGATGTGTAGATTATTTGTATTAGTGTTGTATTGCATCCGTTCTTTTTTACGGTCGAGAACAAAATGCAATGGTGTGTTATTGTTTTTCGGTCAAAACTTTAGATCATTTAACTTTTATGGAAAAACTAAGAAAACTTAACACTTATAAAATTAATTTTATTTATGTAAATAGTACCCATGCCATCTCTACAAGTTAAAAACTGTTAATTTGTGAAATATAACTGATTTTTTATGCGTAAATTTTGTGTTTTCGTAAGATGTTTTCGGTAATTAGATTATAAAAGATTAGCGACCCGCATCCGCTTCGCACGGTTGCAATGCTGAATGTTTGTTTTCGACATCGCATTAGAAACCTGTAAAATTATTAGTGTTTCTCTACTATCTTCCCCTTGAATCACTCTATCTATACAAGAAAACTGCATCAAAATCGGTTACGCAGTTTTAAAGATCTAAGCGTATACAGCGTGTCGTTGCCATCGCGACAATAAATGAACACACGTCTAACGCTACTTGCCAATAACCATAAAAAAATATTAACGTTAAACCAAAATTAAAAGGAAAATATTTTTCAAACAAAATAATTAAGTAAAAAAGAAACAAAATTTGTAACACAACTCGCGCCACAGCGTCGTATTACAAGCCTCTCCTTCTAACAGTATGTTTTGTCTCTTTTAAATTCATTCAACCCATTCATATGCTTTGTGACCTTTACTAATGAACTTTACGTTACGCTTTTATAGGTAAAGGTGTTCTAAAATTCTTTGTTTTGGAAAATTTTATAACTCTGTAAATATTGATGTTTAAAGAATTTAAATGTTTAACACAACTTTCAAAAGTTATTCCCTATATGTGTGTTCATTTATTGTCGCGATGGTAACGACACGCTGTATATGGAGAGACAGACAGGAGGACGACTTTGTTTTATACTATACCTATCTTATAAAAAATCTTATTAAAAGTCAACCATACGGCCCTATGTTAAAGATACGTTTATGAACATGTATTTAAAAAAAAGATATTTACATAGAAGATAATGTTTATAAGACTTCTAAAAGAACAAAAGCCTGAATCTTTATGTAAATGAACTGATGGTAAAGTATAAAATTAAAACGGGAGTTCAGTAAATCATCTGAATTGATCAAATCTACGGAATTAAAGTCGTGTTAAATGGCTACAACCGTCGGTCAGTGCGTCAGGGTCACAACTTGCGCTACAAGGCCTACAAGCTAGAATGCAAAGTCGATATCAGCTTTATCGCATACGATTTCGCGCCATACGAATTAAAGGTCATGTTTATCGATCTGGTTACTAGTTTTTAAAATAGATATACTTGTTAATTATATGCAAAACGAATTGTACAGAGATAACATTGACGCTATATAGATAACATTCAACATTCAACCTAACAGGCAACACACCAATGCACGTAAGGCGTATTAAACAAAAACGTACTCGATAGGTAACCTAAAGTTATTACACTATTGTTACTAATGTCACTATTCCAATTCAAGGCCCAGTGACAGATAACGACGTCAGTGTTCTATTATTAGCCACTTGTTCCGTTCGGCCATCGTTTACGGGCTGTCATTGAAACGTAACAATTTCTGCGTCCCCTTTCTTAACTTCACCTGTATCCCGAGACGCATAAAAACGCGTCCTTGGCTCCATTGTTGATTTTTGCGCGCCAAGTGAGTGTCGAAATCGGCGCACGCGGCCGCCGATGCGCGGGAAACGTAGCGTCAGTCGGCCGCAGTCGCTGGAAGTGCGCGCACGTCGCGTCCGTTCGCATCTTATAGGTTAGGTTAGAATTGGCGCGGTTTCGGCCGCCAGGTGCTATCGCCGCCCCCACTCTAACGCGGTGCGCCCGGCACCTCTCTCGCTCCGTGCACGCGCAACAGCTGTTCTCTCCCGGGAGATTAGTCAGATGTTTCTCGCGGACCAGTCGCCGCTCACCTGACCGTACCGGCACATTGCGCGCTCACCATGGCGGCGGGAGGTCGTACACCGAAGCAGAGGAGGTTCGAGATGTCGTCGGGAATGGGCGCGCGGGAGGCGAACGCGTCGCGTCGGAGGCGCGGGAGCTGCAAGTGCCTGTTCGGCGCGCCGGACCGCGACGAGACGCGCCGCCTAATGGCGGAGCAGTACGCGCGCGAGCGGAAGCGGTTCATACGGCGGTTCAACTTCGACGTGGAGACCGAGTGCGCGTACAAAGCGAAGCTCGACTCGCCCGCCAAGTTCGCGGAGGAAAAGGACAGCTCGAGGACGGCGGCGGAGGCGCTCTCGTGCGTGGGCAACACGGACTTGAGGGTGCTGGGTTCGCCGTCGAGGCGTAGCGGTGGCAGCGCGGCCAGTTCGCCGCGCACGCCACGCACGCCGCGCACGCCGCGCGCCGCACGCACGCCGCGCACGCCACGCACGCCCGCCTCGAGGAGGCAGCTGCAGATGACAGGTCAGTACGGGAAACGGGGAGTGAGTTACACTAGGTGAAATCCTGTTCCTGATTTTTTACCTTAACCGTGACAAATACCTGTTACGAAACAACAGCCTGTTATTTTATCTAGGTATGTTGTGACAATTTGTGTAACTGTTAGCAATTACGATAGAATAACACGCAAATGCTAGTACATTTATTCCGCCATATACCACTGCAACCCAATTACTATAGAGTAATAGAAATGTGAATACTAGAATACGCCATATACACCTGCAACAAATATATCAGAAATGCTCAGATCTGTGGAAAGAATGTTGATTAGTGAGTGACCTAGTTAAAACTATTTTAACTAAACTAATTAAGTATAGACTACAGAATTTTTCAATAATGTAATAAAAAATATATTTTATAATATAATTATAAATATATTCGTTATTTATTACACATTGCTTTTTTATAAAGTCCAGTAGAAAAGACGTTAATTTTTTATATGTTCAATCACAAAGCTCCATTTGCCATATTTTATTTAGATAAATCTCCATTAGACGAGTATTAAAAAAACTAATTATACACAAACTAGATCTTAATTCCAATGCCTGCATTTCTTTACGCGATCGTGACCTTTATACGTAAATATGGAATAAAGAATTTGGCCGCTTGAAATCCTATCTATCGTTTTTAATTATAATCATTTATTACAAGTTTTTGACATGCGATTTCCATATCTTAAAAAGAACGTAGATTTATCTAGACTACACCACTACATATAAGTCATATAATTAATTGTCATACAACACACTGAGGTCTTCATTATGTTCATGACGTACAATGGCAGAGACCGGAGACCGGACAAATCCCGCGACCGATATGAAACCACTGACCATTGATTATCTTTGGACCTTATAAGGTAGTGGAACGTGACCGTTCGATCAAAGTTCTGAACTATTTAGGCGAGAGAGAGAACGCTGGCCGAAAATAATGCAGCCTGCACAGATTATTAAGACGTGCTTACTTTTTAATCTGTGTATGTTTCATTTACCTATGGTTGTTTAATGTTTCGATTGGCACACGATACATATCCCTTCAAAAATTAGATTTTATGCTTTTGCCATTCAAAATAATGAATTACAGTATAACCACATGAAAGAAATCGTAAGATGTCTTCCGAAATTTCTAATGTGTGATTGTGATCGAGTGCTTGGTATTCAACTGGTGGCTTTCAGAATCCGTTGGTGTTATGGGGTCATTGGCCGGTTGCGTCATCTATGGTCCAACACCATTACATTTTTTGTTCCACCTCTCTAAAGCCACGCTATCTCCTAATGCCCTTGGTTAAAACGTAATTACTTTATTTACACCTTTATTACTTTGCGTTAAGAGCTAGAGTGTGAGAGTGCTGTGCATTCTGTAACTTTGCATTTATATAATACTATCTTGCAGGGAGTACACAAAATCTGTGTCCCTTTAATTTGATGATCGTTTTGAATTATCTTTAGTAGGTTTAATAGGAAAATTTTTATGTAAAGAATAACAGACTACAAGCACAAATTAACCGGGAAGGCCAAATATTCTTTACCAATCACCTACTTAAACAATAGTCGCAGAATTTAGAACGTTCTGATTTTACTTTGGCTCGAGCAAGTAATAAAATACGATCATCATGATAAATGTAATTGAAACAGATCATCTTAAACAGTACCGTTTACAAAAAATACACACGCATGGACACCCTAGCGACGTTAGACGCGTATCGTAACGAAGCAACGAGAGAAATAAAAAAGAAATCCCGCAATCATTGCCCGCTTCCACTGACATAACTGTGAGGAGAGGGTTACGTAGATTGCGTACTGTGATTTAGTTAGAACTCCTTGTCCCTTGTCTGTATCATCTGAAATGCTGTATGCAACGAAGCCATTTTGAATTACTATTAAATATACGCAACCGGTGCAGTATGCTAAACGGAATTAAGTGGTGTGGGGAGAATGACTTTTGTTGGTAAAAAGTATCACATTTTAATTATACATGTATTTCAATGAAAATTTCATGGGTTTTGTTTAAAACCTTCGTATGTAAATGTTTGACTTGTATTTCTTAGGGTATGCAAGTTGACCTAGAAACCAGAAGCCACTTACCACAACCATATTTATGCCCCTAAAATCTCTTTAGGTCATGATTTTCGCGTTATATCTCTTTACGGCATTATTTTTGCAATATATGACCAAATTTTTCATAGTCGACCCAAATCTTAAGCCCCTCAACTACTAGAAATTAGAAGTCGCCACGCCTGCCTACATAGTAATAATATCAAAGCATGTATTCACGATTATCGAATTGCATTCGGCAACCAGTTTTGTTTAATCAATAGAATTACGCCCGGTTTCTGAAACAGTGATCATGGTAGAAGTTAACTAATCAGCTGTCAAATGGCTTTTTAAATGTCATTTAAGTTGATCAGAATGATCAGTTCAAAAAGTTTAACCATCTTTTTTACGAACGTCCAACATATATTTCGAAGAGCACAACTATTCGACGCAATTGGTCTCGAAAGTTCAATAAACCATTCCGTGTATTAGTTGTTCTATTGAAATTGTATCTTGCTGTACAAGCAGTTCACACATGCGTAGCTACAATCGATGTATGGATGTCAACCTTTCTATGAAGCGAATGATGATCATAATACACTGAATCGAAGGATAGTAATAGATATGTTTATTTGATGAAATAATAAAAAATGGTAATAAAAAAATTTTTTTATGATCTGGTTCGGAATGCCTTTGACCGGAAGACAGAACTCATTTTAATTGTAATAATTTTCTAATCTATTAGTTAAAGAAAAGCGAAAATGTTATTAAAATCTCACCAAATTATCGTAGTCTCATCACGTCCATACATCGACACAAACATGCTCGTCGATTCTTGATACACTTTAAATCTAAATACCCCCAACACAACTACAATATAACCCAAACAAGCGTGCATAGAATGATAATTTGTTTTCCCAAACGATGGTTCCATTAGAAACGGTTCCCGTACAAATTCGATCAGTTCATGATCGTTGATTCTGAGAATTAATTCCCACGAAGGCTCGTGGAAGGCTTCGTGCTAGCGTTACGAATTTTACTTCTCTTACTTCTTTCGACCCGGCACTAGACTAGAATGCCGACCTTTCATTTGTCGAGTAAATGAGGTTCATGCGAGTTTTTTTTTGCAGTTACGTAATGGAAAACACTGATGGCCAAAATATTAATGTTCATTACAATGTCAGTGTGAGACGTAATAGTTAATTGTCTGCACGCATGAGCACATGCGTGGCCCTGCCAACGGCCCTACCTCAAACCCGTGGGTTCTGGCTAGCCCACCGGTTCTGCGTTCGATGGAGCTTTAATAGTCTCGGGACCGAAATCGTTAATCAGTTTAAAAAAAAGTTCATTGTCCGGGCGCCCGCTTTTAATTCAATGTACTCGAGCAACCTGAGTTCAATCCCCAGTGCCGGCACAAATGAAATTGTTAATTTTAAGTGCTGACTTATCACGTGCTCAGCGGTAGGATCGCGCGAGAGTGTTTGCTGTTGCACGAATGGCCAGGTACGTCCGGGTTAGTACCACGACCTCACAGAGGACCGGCGTGAAGTGGATGTGTTACACTGCTGCGTTTCGTCTGGTGAGTGAGGTAGCCGGGGCCCACTTTATTAAAAGGTGACCATGGGCGGCGGTTGTCACTTAACACCAGGTGAACCGCCAGCTCGTTTGCCACTTTGTCACATAAAAATAAAATACATATTTCTAGGATATCATGTATTTGAAGAACGCCAATCCGTAGTGGGACGAGGGTCGAGAGGTGGACTACGTCCTACAATTAGCTTAGCTTATTGCTGGGCAAAGCCCTCCGTACAGAGGAGGCGTTTGCCCAAAAATGTTGTCATTGTAAACGTCTATTAAACTTAGTGCGCTAACCAACCGTAAATACGTAACTAATTTAATTGATATATTAAGTGGGGTAGTTAATAGGCACTACTCCAATATTATAAAATACGGCCAATCGAATTAGTTAAAAAAACTCATGTTAATGGCTGGATTGGCCTCTAACCGATATCTTTGTGTGTTGCTCCCGGTCTGGACAACACTAGAACTGCGGAAAGTTATTCCTAAACTAAGTGTCCTATAAGTGTTTTTAAACCCGCATATTTACACCGCTACAGCAGTTGTTTATGTTAGCCAACGGGAGAAGTATTTAAATTTATTACCACAGGTACCATACTATCATATGTCATACGAAAACGTCTACGAAGAAATATTGTTCTATTAATCAATTTGTTGTAGCTCGAGGCAAGGCTCGCGAGGACTTCCTTTTTGTGGATCTTCAGTGGGCTCAAAAGCCAACAATTAGTCTGTAAATTTATCTCACCGGTGCTGTTCTTCTGAATTAAAAAACCTGCAAAATATCGTATCAAACTCCGTTACTGTGCGGAAGGCCTGCCCGATGACTAAATGTGCAATATTAATTATTGGGTAACGAGAAAGTTGCGCATATAGCTATATCGTTTTTCGATCGTATCACAACGTCGTTAGGCATTATGTCAATGATCATTTCAATATACATAGAGATTTCACGAAATTTTTCCTACAATGTTACCACCAATAGCCCCAATTCCGAAATAATCAATAATAAAACGCGACATGTAAACATAGATTGAATTGAGACCGATACAAATCGATGTTAGGCAAATATTAGACATCGATAAGGTATACCGGGTTAAATTCCTTAAACACACATAGCGACAATGATAAAAAGTTTCAAGTGTTTAAAGGGGAGCGCCCACTTAACCTGGATCACCTTTGGTGCATTGTTGACGTTTTTGTACTGCCATGTTGGATTTGAAAGCGGCTGACAACAGTGTCTAATTAAAGCGTGACTTGGGTTCCGCATTTAGTAATTCATTTCCAAAAACGGTCAGAAAAACTAGCTAGAACATTGAGTTATAGCAAACGACTGTTTTTTTCTTTATGTGTCTACGG